ATACAAAGCTTTTGGGTCGAAGTGCATTCATCGTCTCCGGACCACCAGAGCTCTTTCTCCTTTTCGTCTTCTAGTGTTGCGAGACTATATATTACCTGTTGCAAGTTAGCTATTAGAGAGTCTACATCACGATGTAAACTTGAAGATCAACCCGATAAAACCGTGGACTTGAGAAGTTTATGGAAATCTTACCATTAAAGGGCGGGTTGCCCTGAATAGCATTTGTCCAATTCGGGTGTCAGTCTGTTTGCGGCCGCGTCCTCGGACCAACTCAATAGCACCCTGTACGTAATTGCGCCAGCTTTCTTGCCCCCCAGTCGTAGGATTTAAGCATTCGAACAGCGCTAGAAGTAAAACTGCAGCCAAGGTTGCATCCTCACAAACGACATCTGGATCTTGAAGTGCGCTATGCATCGCCATCAGCGCTTTACTGTATGTCTCAATAGTCAAGCTTTTGTATTCAAGCTGACCGCCCGTCTCATTGATGAACGACGCCATAGCGCAAGCTTCGAATGCCAGTCGGTAATGCTCCCATTCCTTGTCGCTCTTCGATAGGATAACAAAACCCATATCGCCGATTTTGTTCTGTCTAGGCGATTCAAGATCATAATGATACAAAAAGTAAGCGATTGCCCTTTCTTACAGGGGCATCTGTGGAAGGTCTAAGGAGCGCAGCTGCAAGGATCCTGCCTTCGGTGTCGAATATGAGGCAACTTTCTCATCCTGTGATATAGCATTCAGGGGTTCATCCTTTGCGAATTTTCTGCCGGAAGATTCCGAATATCCGTATCGAGTAACAATCCTTTCTTCGGGTGGGGTACATTTTCTCCCAGACTTGATGCACTGCTGACAGGGCCCCGAATTTTCACACTACATAGACTTCTTGTTAGACCTTGGGTTATTACGAGGTTAGTTGATCTCCAAGCAGTGCATTTACCTTGACTCGGAACTTTCTGCAACCCGTACAGGCCTTCCAAACCCTGCGAGATTACGCAAGGGCCTTATCTGGTGATGAAATGACGTCCTGTGTTGTGGTTGGCCTGGGCGAGGTCACTCTTGTGGTTTTCTACCCTTTCTTTCTTGCGTACTCCACAACAGTCTTGTGGCAAAAAGCGATATCGGTTTTGGGTCTGGAACAGAGCCTGCGAGCCTTCGCCCCGTCGCACTACATATACTCCATGTTAGACTTTCAGCTGTTGTAAGGTTTAGTCAATCCCCCGACTGTGAATAATGGATATACTTTGATCCTGCGCTTTCTGCCACTGAAGACCATGGTAGTAACGAATGCGGCCTGCAGGTCTTAAATGTTGATTGTGGTGGTGTTTTAATGTAATATGACCAGGGTATGGGATTCCCAATGCACACTGGTATGAGCTCTTCCTGAATAAAATCTGAAGACCTGAGTTAGAACCGCCACGGAAGGAAGGACTGTCATACTTATACATCCTACGGAACAATGGATCAGCCTCCACGTGAATAATGTACGCAGCCCAACGTGTGTCGAAAAACAACACGAACACCTGAGTCTAGGGAAATGAGGCTGCCAAAACTGTATTCCCCGGTTCAGGGGCTCTTCCGTGGTGCAACAACAAGAGATCTTCCTTGCCGAGGGCTAGCCGGTATCCAGCAGGGTTGCACCTACGAAGACAGCCGCATGGTGGTGTAGAACATTCAGAGCTACTTTCCAGCGCCGAAGTTTGCAGAATTATTAGTGTATTCCAGGTTCTTATAGAAGCGTTCAAAGTGGTCAGTGAGGTTTTTTGACGTCCATTAAATGCACTACAAAGAGACATCTAAGTACAATTGAAATGAGTGGTCTATGATTTATGTCAACGTACGTCGGTTTTTATTCTGTCAATACAGAGTGGTTCAAGCTTCCATGAGGCAATAGCAAACGAGCAGTAGTTATATCAATATGCTTGTCATGCAGAAGCATCACCCCCTGTCAGACAATTGAGGGTCACAAAAGAACGAGTATAATGGCGCCGAAGGCGCCAATTGTATTAAATGAGAATTATCTAAGGAGCAAGAACTCCATCAATGGTTTCAAGGGAACCGTGCAACTCTTTATACACAAAAGAAATCTTTGATAGTTCAGGCAGTAGCAGCTACCTGCCAGGCAGCCACTGCAGTGTCCCAGTTTTTCAGGAGGTAGGATTTGGGTAGGCTTGATATGCGACACCCTCTTCTAAACATCTTTTGGTACCAGCTCGATCTCAGAATCACTTGACGTATTTTTTGTTTTTGACCTCTTCCAAAGTAAAACTCCATCCGTCGTATCTTCACCAGCCATTTGCCGCCTGTTGGTGTCTCTCTCCTCATTCCTGCACTGGCGATATCTCCTAAATCCCGCGATAAGGTTCACAATTCCGATGACTGTGAACATTCCGTTTTGAACCTACCCTGTCAGCGTATGCAGGTTGATGATGGAAGAACATCTCACCAGTTTATAGTTTATGCGTGATGCTAAGACATCGTAAAATGAGAGAAAAGAAAACCCAAAGGTGGCGATCTCGAAGCAACTTCGAATGTCCAGAGAAAGCCAAAGCTTCCAGTTCTGGGATTTTGCCTCTATACCTCGTCTAACTCCTTCGAGGCGCACAATGAAACATGACAGCATCATAGATCCTCGAAAAGCAGCTATAGCTGACGTCGGCAAAAGTCGTGACGATGATCTAAATTGAAAGTCTGCCGATAGCAACCCGATCCCAGTAAGTGATAGACCTAGTAAAAGTCCCTTCATCATGACCCCTTGGGCTTTGGTTCTCCCAAAAGCCGTCACTATCAGACCAGCCAATGCGATACTCTGGATTAGGTTCAGTCTTTTGCCCATTTCCTAGTCAATGTATACTCACCTCTAATAGCATATTCCAGAGCAGCATCACTGATAACTCGCAATCCGCCCAATATTCCACCGAATGCTCCCCCAGTTCACACCATGTCGCCACCATCAAGACAGCACCCACCACTAAACCAGCGATAACGGAAAAATACAACGCACATAGATTTGCCCAGTACCAGAAACCGGTTTTAGATGAGCGTCCAGGTAGTAGGCCCCTTAATAATGCTGCTGTGCTAAGAATTGAGAGCTGTAAAATGGAACAGATTGTCAGCCCGATTTGCTGCGTTAAAGACACGGCTGGAGGTTCGTGTGACTGCATGATATCAAAGGTGGAGGAGTATGAATAAAAAGGCATCCAGCTCACCGCCACTCCTACAGCGACGGCCTCATTTTAAGTAGTTCACTCAAAAGGTCTTCAACAATCAATTATCCTCTGATTCCAGAGTCAGATATGAGGTCCCACGTATCCCGAACAGTTCCCTGCGATCCACTTGGACACCGTTGTGTATATAACTGAGACCTTCGTCCTCTTGACTTGAGTAGTGGTTAAGGCTAATAGACTCTCAATATTCTCATCATTTTTGACAGTGGACTACAACAGCAGGAACTTGTCTGCGGCTGTGACACGTCTCGGTCGGTTTGCGTGCAATCTCTATTATAAAATTCACAAAATGATTTATCCACTCGTCATCGTCGTATTTTCCGGCAATATTGTTCCAGGTCCAATGGCGAAGATCAATCCTTGATGGCCGCAGGTCTCTCAAAAGAATTTTAACTTCTTTTTCAAAGTTAAATCGGGCCGAGTCCGCATAGTAGCCTTCCGTAGACATCCCGATCGCAGCTTCAACGGCGAAGGAATCAAGGTCGTCACCGCTTGCCACGAAGGCACGGGCAGCCCAACCCAGAACGAGCGTAGATCCTTTGGTTGCCTGATCAATGTGTAGAACATCTTCACAAGTGGGGCATGGTCCGAATACGAATTTCAACAAGACGTTTTGTGTACATCTGACTTCTTCGTTGCATCGGCATGCCTCGGTATCATAAACAGTGCAGCAGTGAAGGCAAATACTATGCTCTGTCTTATGCATTGGCAGTATTTTTATTGGTCTTTGAGAGGACTTTGGAGGGAAAAAAAGAATGAAGGAGACTTTGATGGGCAGCAGGTCAGGGTTGGAGGAAACGGGAGAGGCCCCAGACGAAAAGTAAAAGAGATCTTATAGCCAGGTAACACAAGGAGAAAAAAACCAACCTCCCCTACGCGACAATATACGTAATGGTCTCACACACAGCTCTGTACTATAATATTTGCTGGAGTGCCCAAATTGATGCATAGAGGCGAAAAATTCGTTGGGGATTGTTTCACTTTGACAATGCATGGGATACGGCCTGGCATCTGTGTACGCCTGCGATTAACAGTCTACGAGCGGGTGAATTGAAGGAGGCAGTGAATGAATACAGAGATTTTGTTATCGCATACTGTTTGCTACACCATTTTGGCCTCTCCTCCACTGTTTTGGAACTCGAACGAAAAGTCCTGCCATTTGTAACACCAGTAGCAATCGGACAATCATCTTCCAACCAGCTCCGCTGCCCTTAGACTTCCCCTTTGCCTTTGGAGCTATCGATTCCCAATATGTCGCATCCATGGTAGCGATAGGAGTCTGGTTTGAAGCACCGCAGCTAGGAACTAGCACAAATTCCGTGTTTAGTCACGGATTTATCGTCTGCTCCGGAATGGCCGCCAACTCACCGCCATTCCTGCCGCGACAGACTCATTTTAAGCAGTTCACTCAAAAGTTGTTCAGCAATCGGTTGTCCTCTGATGCCAGGGTCGGATATGAGGTCACACGTATCCCAAATAGTTCCCTGGCAACCCCCGCTCAACCCTCTCGTGATTCCATGTCAGACTCGGTCAACTTCCTGACTTCAGGGCGGTTTCACCAATGCGCGTGATGGCTGGAGGAGTACGAAAAGGAGTCGTAATGTGACGTGCATGAATCCGTGATAATTGCCTATCTCACTTCTTACTTTTGTAATATTCATACGCTAACCTCTTTTCTTCTGGCGTCTGTGCCACTTGTAGAGCTCCATCTGACCCCTACGTGGATGCCCTTCTGCCTATTCTTGAGCGCCAACACAAATCAGCCCTGTCAATCAATTACGATCCTTCTTCAATTCCAATCACAGTATTCCCTTCCACGCAGCTACCTTGCACGGATGCTGCGACCGGATCCGCAAAGCTCGTGGGACATCCACTCGGAGCCATTCTTCGTTCCCCCGAGCACGAAACTAAAGCCTGTGCCACTTCCTCTTCCATGGGTGATGTCGGATAGGGGAATGCCGCTTCTATTGCTGGTGGTTGGTGAACCCGACCATGTGCATTTTCAATTTGCCACTCACCAATGGTAAAGACTGAAGGCTCTCGAGTCCGCTGAGCCTGTTGTAGAATTGTTTGTGGTACAACCAGTTCCCGGTTCGATTGCGCATAGACATCTTCGTTGCTGCTAGACTCCCTTCCGCCACGCAGCTTCTTTGGGGGTTTTTGTCCTGGCGGCTTGCCAGCGGTGTCGTCCAAATGTCTTTTACCAGTGTCCCTGGACCAGAGGTGATCTGGGATCACGTTCCTGATTTTCACGTCCGTTTTGTAGACATCTTGCAAAAACCGTTCCCAATTGGTCGCCGCATCGTGAAGACAGGCCAGTTGTAGCTGCTCGGAAGCGTCATGACACCCTGAAGCGAGGAGACCAGCCACTCTGCCATTCTCGTACATGCGTTCCAGGTCGTTGGGGTCCGTCGGCTTTCCAAGCCTTATGTTAGACTCTGCTCGCAAGAGGAGTTCATTTTTCTCTTCTAACAATCGTTCTTCTGGCGACTTGATTAAAACCATTCGTCCATTCCACTCTATAAGAAACTCTTGCATCATATCTCTGACTGTGCTGGAATTCATGTCTTTGCGTTTCGGGGTCGCAGAGTAAATCGGGAGGAAAGGCTCTCGTGTACTGGCGGACGGAATGGGGTTCCGTATGAAATATGTGCCGTCTATATAGTATTATATTCCTTGCTTGTCACCAGCTTGGAGCGGACCGGTCCACTACTCAAGTTCTGTTAAGCCAGTGGAGGCAAGCGTCGATCTTGCGACGCTGTTGGTGCTGGTGTTCCGGCCTGTAAGCTTTGAAGAGTATGACTACTGCTTTTCCCCCCTTCACATTTTTGTCACCTGCAGCAAACACCTGAATGTGAAAATTGATGCGAAGCACGAGGTAGCGACGCCGTTGAGGATCTATAGCTGTCAGCTCCTGCATTGGACTTTGACCGAGTGGAAGGTTGCTGACCAACACGCAGTTGAGGAGTGTGGTCAGGTTGCGATGGAGCGGCACAAAACCGGCGCCCAAAGCGACCATCAAGGGGATGATTCGACTGATCCTTGGCTACCAAGAGGGGTCATATTATGGTGAGATGTGATGGGATGGAACAAACCCGCTTTCCTGGGGTGAAATGGTTTTACCCCAGGAAAGCGGGTCCTCCCACGACACCAGTCCCAGGTCGGTGCGCAGGGGTCCTCACCTTTGAACGGCCCATTAGAACAGGTTGACAGTTGTTCAACAGCCTGGTTCGTCTTTTCTCCTACAACTACTCGTCTCTCAAAATGCAGAATGAATATGAAGGGAGCAATGCCGTCTTTATAGACAAAGCTCGGGTGCAAGAGGGGCTCATATTGGCAAAATCTGGACAGCAGCAACTTCCACAAATCCCAGAACGCAAGACGCTTTACTACTTCACGGTGTCACATAATAATCACTGCAGCGTCTGCGAAATCCTCATTACACCAATCAAGCACACTCAGTACCCAAATTTCTTCTTCTTTCCAGTCCGAAGGTATACGAAGTGTTGTGACAGTGCTCCTGAGAATGAGTTAAAACAACAACACCAAACTATATACGATGTCCTCATCCGGCCAAATCAGTGGCGTCTCAGTAATGATGACAGGTGAAGTTAAAACTCTATTTTTGGTGATCATGGCTGACAAATTCTTAGCGATGAGGTCAAGCTACCCCAAAATGCATCCACCATAGGCATCTGTCGTGATCACTCAAAGCTTGGTCTGGAGTATCTACTACAAACTGCTACTCCGACGTCCTCTGGCGCGGCAAAGGACGTAGCGTTCCGCACGACATCTGAGTCTGAGTCTCCGTGTCGGTGTACTGATGCGGCCGATGAAGCAAATAGTAGTGACACAAACGGCACAAAACCCCGCCCAAGAAAAAGACGAAAGGATGGAAAGACGGCGGCTGATACGATTTCAAAGAAGCTCTTGAAGGCTGCTGAAGTAAAAACGCCGGGAAGCTTCAACAATGTCTCCGAAACCCATTCCTTGTCAAATGTCGAACAACTCGACGCACTCCCTGTTTTGACAACTTATGACGAGCGGTTTGAGTTTGCAGAACACCTGCGGAAGCTATACAGCAAAACACAAGATAGAGCTGGTCAAATTATCTGGGCAAACAAGCGGTACTCTTTCGACATGCGATTCCTCCTCCGTCGTGAAAGGAAGATCGACGGCGAAAATGAAGCCGACCGATCTGCCAGATCTTCAATGCTTATCAATCGTATCGCCAGTAAACTAACCGACAATAATCCCAAATGCTATTGTGGAGCACAAGTGTACGATTTATTCGCCAGTACGAAGATCTCCTTGAATAGAATACTTATTTCTATGGCTATTAACACATTCTCCCAGAAGCAGGTCATTTGCTAACTAACCTTCCTGGTGACCAAATCGAGCGACTCAAAGCAGCAGACATGATAGCAGAATCGATAAAGGAGCTTACGCCTCTGTATGGTCCTACTACGATATTCTATGCTCCTGCAGTTATCGCTGCTTTGTGGAAGAAAGAGTTAGTTTTTCACCTACTCCTGTGCGTGTGATGCTAATTGGTTCCGGTTAGCTACGCGACTATATGCAAAGATCTTGATGCAGAAAATCTCGCACTTCACGATGTAACCAAACATGTAGTTAAAGTACCGTACGACGACGATCTTTATACGTACGGTGTTTATCTCGAGAAAGGCTGTCCTGTACATGGTGGACAGAGTGGCAATACGGCTTCGCCCAACAGCTTATTGTACAGTGACACCACCGGAGTAGATGATCAACAAATCCAGCAGGATCTTCATGGAGTCAACATCGATACACCTTTTACGAACTCCCAAGTGACTGACCCACTGGAAATATTTAATAACTTGGATGAAGATGGTGCTGGATCACTGGACAAGTTCGGCATTTTCCCATATGCTGCGGAGGGGTTTTGGGACTTTATGAACACTATTCCTGATAGCTGATTTCTTGTACATTGAAAGTGTACACTATAACCTACTTATCATCAAGTTGAAAATGTGCAAGTAACAAGTAAATTTCCTCTTTTCGCGTGCCAATTGCCGTCCCAGGCTGCAGAAGTGAGTAGCCCAAGTTATGCCGCCACATCCTTCTGTGAACCCTCGTTATCGGAGTTGGCGTTTCTATAAGTATTTCCATCTCAAACTCATTCTGGCACATCGGTATAGCAAGACAGATGGTTCCGCTTAGAGCTCTTATTCCGCCACCAGGACTTACAGAGACAGCTTTCGTTTGGACCTTGTCCAAGCTAGCGCCCCATGCGTCCAACCTCGTTGTCTTGTTGGTTAGCGCCGCATGTTTGCGTATGCATGCTGTTTCACTTACCAGCCTCTTCTTAACTCTGTCCCAAAATGCGCCATGCGCGTCCGACCAATCATAGGAATAAAGGTTAGGGCGGACTTGGGTTCTGTTGAATCGTTGCTTCGCTGCCTCCCTAGCTAAGACGAGCTCTTCTTCATCTAGCTCTATAGTGTCGAATGCTTGCATTGTTTCAAGGTGCGTCTGGTCTTCTTCTTCAGCGTCTGTTCTAAGATAGTCCACGCCAGTCGCCCGGAGGAGTTCAGTGTACTGGGCAGCCATGGCTCAGAAGCGGGGTAAGTCGGGCTCTGGGCGGGGAAAAGATAAGCCGACCACGATCGGAATTTAATGAGAAAGCAAGTCACAGTAGGATGGTACGATACGTCCCGTTCGAAACTAACGTCGATGGTTAGAAAGAACGCGATCGCTTGCGAACACTATGCGAACACACGTATTTATAACTGATCAGTCATGAAATGGTGTTTGAAATACTGGTGCAGAATATAGTCTGCACGACGACGTCAATTCTTCGTTAAGAGCATTCTCAACTAGAAGGAAAGGGAGACTGGGGAGTTGGTGAGTGGAAGTAAGGTCAGTGAGAATGTGGTGTATTGAGTTGTTCTGCCTTAGCTTCCAGTCTTTCGTATTCAGCTATTGCTTCTGGGTCTGCCTTGATAGCTTCAAGATCACAGTGGGTCAAGTACACCTGCTCGAGATCCTTTCCTCTACTCAATGCCACATATGCTTGTCCGTCAGAGAAGATATTAGAATTCAAGGCGACGGTAACAGCTGGTAGTGACAGACCTTGAACCTTGTGAATTGTCAACGCAAATGCATTGATGATTGGAAGCTGTACTCGTTTGTATTCCACCCCATTTGTCTGGAAATAAGACGGAGTTTTGTGCAAGTTCATGACCTATACTACATTAGGCGCGTCGAGTGCCTCTAAGCTTCAACCATGGGCCCAAGATATAAAAACTTACTTGGATACCGTCTTTAGTGGGAAATGCTGCCTCAACTTCGTCATCGGGCAACAAATTAGTAATAACACCAATAGAGCCATTAGAAATTCCTCTCTCGCTGAGCATGCTGTTTGTGAGAAACATGACCTTGGCCCCAACAGTACACACCACTGACGATGGGAAGTTTGTCCCCTTGTTGAATACTTTCGAGTGCTCTAAATTTTGTAATCTTACTCCGTTTTCAAAATCCTCCGCCTTTGAAACGAAGATAGGGTTCTCTGATGGCATGCCGGAGAGAACCGCATGGTTTAATGCGGCAGCTTCATCACGAAGGGAAGACAGGTACGTGGTATTCCACATGACATATTGTGGATTATATTGGCGCCATCGTTCTTCCAGAGTGCATCTTACCTCGTCATCGATGATTCCAACCCGAATCTTGTTCAAGATTCTGAAGAATTTGTCGTTTGTCTGCCGGTACGGTTGTCGTAGGAAGATGGGATGGAAGAGCTTCCAAACAGAGGCCTTAAAGACCTTCAAACCCTCCACGGGGGGTAATTGCATCAAGTCCCCAAAAACGATGACATGCATGTTGCCGAACGGCCTGTTATTTCTCCTCAGTTTGGCGAAAAGGGAGGCGAGGTAGTCAAGCAGTACGCCATCTACCATCGATACTTCGTCGATAATAAGCACGGTTTTCTTTTCTATGTCTTTCTTTTTTTGATCTTCGAACCTAAATAAGCCTGTGTGGTAGGCACTTCTATGGCTATAGACCGATAGAGCCGAGTGGATTGTATTCCCATCAATATTTCTTGCCGCAATTCCAGTGGGCGCAAGCAGTAAGGCAGGGTTCCGGGATTTATTGCACCAATACTGCAGGGCACGCAGGAGGAAAGATTTCCCCGTCCCACCAGGCCCTGTTACAAAGAACATACAGCCTTGATGCCTAGATGCAGAAATATTTTGCGTTACCGTGCTATAGCACTGGTATTGCTCGCCTTTCAGGGTAAGACTCGCAGCATCGGCGAGTCCTGGAACAGACATGGTATTCAGCTGCCGTAGCTGCTCAGACACCATATCATGGACATTTGGCGGAGCCGCCCCCGCAACTCTTTGAACCATCTCACAATACTCCCTTCCGAGGGCTAGATTGCCATGTTCGACTCTATCAGCATGTCCTCGTAAAGCAGCATCATAAAGTACTGGGTCGAGCTCGAAAAGCCTTTCACGGTAGGTGGCGGAGTTCGCAATGATTTCGTCATCTGATCTCCAATGGTATCTATAAAGGAGCTGCACGTAAAAAAACACTTCTCCATCACAAAGTCGTCGGTAAGAAGTGCGAATCAGGATGGGCTTCTTCCTTTGATAGACCCAATATCCCAATGAATCTTGCCACCCTTCACGAGGACCCTGTCGGTTAATGGTGCGAGTTTTCGTGACTTCATAGTATGCAAAGTAGTCAAAATAGGTCAAGACTTCGAATCGAGGCACTCTTGGTCGAGCAAAATATTTCTCCATAGCGTCTGGGAAATAAGCGTCCTCAGGGTGCTCGAGGATATGGTTAGCTGGACGAACAGAATAATTCCTCATCTCGGGGGTGCTGGTTGGAAGGTAGAGAGACCCGCTGGTGCAACGAAAAATGTCCAATCCTAAGCACAGCACGATTATTTCCATAGATCCCATTCTGCGAGCCAGCAGGTGCTTCTGAGTTGCTGTACAACCGCCCACAAGAACGTGAGAGAGTGGCTCGTTTTTGGTGACGTATTTCGTGATGTAAGAGGCAAGACCTTGGCTCGTCACGAATTGAACGTTGCAGTGGCCTTCCCAGATTAATAGCAATTGAGCGTTATAAGGAACTACCCACACATCGGCTTCGGTGCGGGCATAAGTATACCTGGGATTGCCAGGCTGATGAAACGTCCTGCCCGACACGTCTGCTGGAAAGCCCTTGGAGCACTTTCCGTACCTCCCGGGTCCGCCACAAATGTGGTCTTTGCACTTGTGAATCTGATATTTCATGACAAGTCTATGCAACTCAGGCTCCTTTTCGGGATCCGGAATATCTGCACGGACAAAGTTGCCTGCAAGCAATTCTTTGATGGACTTCCCCGTCCACAATAGGCAATGGCTATGTATTGCGCCTCGTAGTTGGAATTCAAATCTTTCGATTAGCTCTTTCAGGCCCCCAAATTTGGCGTGATTGGACTTCCCTTTCCAGAATTTGGATTTCAGATTACGGATCCTCTCGTAGTAATATTGGACCCCCTCCCATGGATGGTTGGATGGAATAGCAGTAGGAGAGATAGACCGCAAAATATCCTTAAATTCTTCCCAGCCTTCATTGAAAGTCAGCGTCATAAAAAGTTGAGGAAGTCCGTGGCCTGCAATCATCGAGTTTACGAGGCGCTCCTTTTCGAGAAAATAAGCTTCCCCGGTTCGGATTGAGCCAGGTATCGCATGTGTGAGAGTTTCACTAATAATAGAATGTGTCCCATAATTTGACTGCTGTAGTAGTTGATGCTGAGGAAGACGACTATCTGCCGCTTGCCTCGTCTTATTATGAATAAGGCGATTGGTATTCTGAAAGATCCTTGTAGCTTCCATTTCTTGGTATGCCCACGCAGCCCAGTAATAATCGTCTCTGAAAGCGCGATTGTAAGAATCGAGCTTCTTTTTAGTGTCCATGTGGCGAGTGTATGTAGAGCGCCCATCTTCGCTGCGCTCTCCTTGTACGAATTGCCCTTTCCCGTAAGGATAAAGGTGCGGAAAGCAGAGTACCTCGACATCTGGATCCGTTCTAAGTAGCATCGGTTTTGGACGATGCCCCTCTGGGACCTGGACAGCCCCAACGGAGAGCCTGTTATACCGGAAATCTTCATTCCTCGTTTCTTGATCATACTGAAATGGGTTCATGACAATATCCGGGCGGGTTTGGGGTCGGCGCTCATCGCTGTTCTCAGGGAGGTCGGCAGTTGGTAACGGGTGGTCGATTTGTAGATGCTCCCGCACATTATTCCTTTGGAAGACGGGGTTCCTTTGCAGTAGCCAATTGCGAACATGAATTAGATGCTCGAGATTCTGGTCTCGGTCTACTCGATGTGGACTACTCTGCAGATAAGCTCCAAGCGTGCCAGAATATAGCATGTTCGCTCGCTCATTAATCGGATTCGTATTAATAACACCTGATAAAGTACGGTACACGTAGGGGGTCGCGTGTAAGTTGTACCCTGAAGTCCTTCCTAGATTCGTATCCAGCTTGAAAGGGGATATGAACAGAGTCGATCGCCGTGGGAGAGAAGCAATGCACTGAGGGATCTGGCCGCAGTCTATAGGGGCCTGGGGCTCTTTGCAACAGTCCTCGCAGAGAGTCACGCCACCAGGTTCGCCAGTTACAGGAACACCGAAGACTCTGGTGATGCCGTACTCATGGCTGTGTTGGAATGCTCTCTGTTGACGCTTCCTCGGGAGCAGCAAGGTTGCGCACTCGGCACATGGTGTATCGGGAAACTCCTTGTTCCAGCGGTCCTTAAACCTTTTCCTCATTCCTTGAAATCGCACTTCAGATTCTGCGAATATCGCGCCCGCCCGGCGCCGTCGAGGTCTCGCTGAGGGAAATACTGTATCCTCCTTGCTACGATGACGACGATGACGACGAACCCTTGTAGTATTGACAATAATAGTATCATCGTCTTTTGCGTAACGACCCCTGCTAGTGTCGGCCGGTGGAAACCGGCTGCGCTGGTTGACTTGTGTGTTGATGGAAAAGGTTTCCAACAGGACTTGGCTATTATCGTTAAAAAACGATTGAACAGGGTTGCGCATCATGCGCAATCGGTCTTGCTGCTCGTTGGTGGCGGCATTATAGCTGTAAAACCTTTGCTGCCGAGCTTCAGACATTATGAAAGCACAAACAAACTGTGCCTTGGTATACGTTCTACGCCCTGGGCAGTTGGAAGGCGTAAAAGCAGAGTCTAAAGAGAGTTAGAATCAGTGCAGTTCTAAACTACAGAAACAACCAAAACAAAGGATTCATCTTATTCCTCAAGCTCGTCTTCGGTCAACATCTCCTTTGCTTTCTGGCTTGGCTTCCGACTGCGCTTAGAAGAAGGCTCTTGAGACGGCTCAGTCGCCTGGCGCTTGTTCTGCAAACCATCCGGGGCAAAAGAGCTCATCGCAGAATGATCGACTTGAGCCCCGGGTCCGCTCTCGAGAACCTCAAAATCAACAATTAGACCCCTCCTGCTGCCATCGTCCATTGTGAGGGAGGGTGCGGTACTGGCCCTGCCGGGAGTAAACGTGTCAGATACAGTATGAGGCGTTGAAGCAGAACTCCCACTGTGCAAAGGAAGGCGCGCGTTGGGCGGAGTCACAGGAGCCGGCATCCTTCTCATGTTTGTCTGCTTGGCAGGTGATATCTTCAGCGGCACATCTCTACGACGAGATGAGCCCCCCTTGGCTGGAGAACCGACACTGTTTGCAGGGTCTTTGTTGGTCGAGTTAAAGGACACCGCGAGCAAGTCAAGATATCCAGGCTGCTGGGTCTCCTCATCTGGAAAGGTATAGAACCCATCGATGAAGAGCCTGCTCTGAGCGCGCAGGTTTTCGCTACCGAGAGTGCGGTCAAATTTGGGAGACTGCTCAGCGTAAATGTATTGAGTCTTTGTACGGGTTTGTGAAGCTTTGAAGACTCTGTCATTGCGTAACACTGGAGGGGCGGGATCGCCATAGTAACCCGTAAGCTTCGCTTCGAATTCGAATGTGCGAGTAGCGTCGACAAATCGTGGCGTGCATGTCAACTCCGCTGCCGCATTGATGCGCAGCTGATGGATGGGCAGATAGTCCGTTGCCAAAGGAATAGCATCAAACGCAGTAAACTGCATAACGATCAGCAAGCAGTTTGCGGAGGGTGAAGAACAGTGTAACATCAAAGGACGGGGTCAGAGGAGGGAGAGAATACTTACTTTGGGCGCCTCTGCCTCGTCGTTCCCTGGAAGCCGAGCCTGACCGCGGATCATGTATGCTCTCCCTGTATCCAACAGATCACCATAGAACGCGATATGAAAGCTTCTCCAGTCTCCTGTTGTGACATCACTGCTGCCTTCCTCGAACTCACATAGGGCATTACGATATGGGGAGTCCTGGATTCTACCTACCTCAACTACACGGGCGAGAACAGTGAACCACGTTGACATAATGGGACAGGGCAATAGAATGGGGTGAAATACCATATGGGTTGTAGGTTAGTTGTCGGTTAGGCATTGTGGCTGGAACTTTGTTAAGAAGAGTTGGGAGACGCCAAAATATTGAGGGTATTGAGAACCTTGACGGTCTTTGGCTGGCTACCTTGAGAACCTTGAGAACCTTGTTGAGAACCTTGAGGGCAGCTATGGATATCCTCGGGCATCAAATTTCCAACGTTACTGAGGTCCTGCTGAGGTTATACCGAACACCAAGTCATTGGAGGCCTGAGGATGGGAAGTCCTGCAGTGATGTGAGGATTCAAGGGAAAAAAAGGTTGATATGGCGGCTAGGGAAAGAAACGTCCCGTAGTATGGAGCGTATGTTTGAGGGAAAACCGCCGTAACTGACGACTTTCAACCTATGGGGACCAGAGGGGAAGAAGAAGAAGACGATATTTCTCATTTTCTCATTAATCATCTGTTGTACCATGATGTGTTGCCAATACACCATAGCACGTAGCACGTAGCACGTAGCACGTAGCACGTAGCACGCAGCACGTAGCACACAGCACGTAGCACATAGCACATAGCACATAGCACATGATCTTAGTTCGCCTCTGGAAGTGATCAACTAAGGCCCAAAATGGATGGAATTACCCAAAATGGGATGGCTTGACGCTTAGCGAGGGGTACCTAGATTTATCATGTTTATTTGACGCTTAGCGAGGGGTACCTAGATTTATCATGTTTATCATGTTTATTATCATGTTTATCATGTTTATTGTCACTCCGAAGATGCTCGCTAGGCCTACTTTGATAGAACATCACATAATGCGACAATTAGGGAGAGAAACATACTCAGATCGTGTATTTAAATTATGTCCATTCTGTAAATGCGAATCGAACGAGCGAGTACGCAAAAGATCGCAGCGCATAATAACAAATCGCTTCACGTATGGTCACTTTTTGTTGAACGTCACAGCGGGACACACATGATTTTGAGATCAAAGGAGTGTGTCTGTGACAATATCAAGGTTGTCAATAAGCTGATGGCTGGCCAACCACCCGAATTACAGTGTCAATCAACCATAAAATTGGCCTCAATTGCGTAGCTAGATAGATTAAATCAAGGACCAATACCACTGTTCAATTCGATCCATCGTTGCTAATCATGATAGTATTACACGGCACGATCGTCCAGGGCAGCTTAGACTGAAATGAAAGACCTTGATTTTTTACATAAAAGAATGAGTGGTCTGTTTCCTATATAATAAACTGACTTCTGTCCAATCACGGAGATCTCATCTCCGTGAACAAGCGGATTGATCTGGCAGAGTGCGTAGGTTCTGCCACCGAGAGATGCCACCAACAAAGGCTATTTATGGAAGGAACAGGCTGGACCCTGCGCGAGGAATTGTATCATGTTCAACAACCTTTACATATCAAGACTTGCGGTGTTGGTTTCTCGATTTTCTAAGCCGGCACTTCTCCCCTCAGCAGATGCAGCAGTACTTTCATTGACCCTCCTAAGTTTTATCACGGGTTGAGTTTGCTGAGTCAGGATATCCGCGGAATAAGTCTTGATGGATTGCCATTTCCCAGTTTCGGCGTCTAAGTACCTGATTTCGGTTACCTCAGGAACGTTATGGGTGGTCGTCATTTCAACAGCGTTGGAGTTGGTTGCGTTAATTGGTGCCGTTTCCGCAGAGATCTCAGATGTTGATCCACATCCAGTGCCAGGACAATTCTCGCAATGAGACTCCACGCCGTACTGATAATCAGACCAAGATGAACTTGCAAGGGGACTGAAGGCTTGCGAGGCAGAGTCACGGCCAGTAGGGCTGTTAGGGCGTAGTGTCTTGACGTATCCATTAGTCCAATTCGAGCCCCTGGTGTTGGCATGCTTGAGGTCTTTCAGTGCAACGTGCAAGGAAATTGAGAGTTCCCGGCAAAGTTCATCCGTTTCTGACGATGGTGTGGTTCTATGATGCGATTAATACTGATAGTAGTTTCTGGACGGATGAACACAAAGGGATATCCAATGAGTGGATTTGTAAGTGTTTTTGCGGTCGGTGTTGTCTACTTACGAAGGGATTGTAGGCTCATGCTTTTCGGTGAACGGACTGCTTCTACCCTTCGTCTTGTTTCTGGGTTCAGGGACTTTGACCCACTCGGGGTCTGATTCCACAGCAGTGTTCAAATCCGTGAAGGGTGTAATGGAGCGACTACCAGCAGGAGAGGGGCTTGAATGTGGTGAAGACATTTTGGTGATGAGTAATGAGACTGCAATTGTGAGGCGGGTGAGCAACATGGATAAGACATCAAATAATTTTATAAGACAGCGAAAGCCAAAACACAATCTTGCATTAAATGAAGATATGTTTCTATAAACTCGTAGCTCCAGCGGAGACGGTTAGACGTTATATATGAAATATCTCTTGTCTCTTCCCTCAAATATTCTTTATAAATCGGTTTTGGGATGAAGGTTTGCTTCTCTGGACTAGTTCCAAATCGCGATTGATCAACTCACCTCCTTCCAGCGCAATCCAACAGCTTTCTGCAAGCCACATCATGACGAGTCGCATAGTTGTATACATGTGGTGACAAATGTATACAAAAGTGGGCTTTATATAAACGTGCGAGCCATTTTTGGATACAACACATTGCATCCATGTCTCCTTCAGAAGATACAGCAATTCTTTCGCAATCCAAGTCAATGCACTCCACTGAATCGAATCATACTATCCAGAATACGAACTTGACCGAATCGATGCCATCCGCCAACAGCTCTTCCGCAAGCCACATGTGCATGGGGTATTCTGCCCTGAACAGCTGCCAAGGGTTTGATCCTATGAGTTTCTTGCTATGAAGTTAAATAAATTCGACATCTCGTCTGAGGAATCGAACGTACTCCGATCGCCCTTCAGACAGTATGAAGTCCTGGCCAACCATCCTTCACAGCCACCCGTCCCTCTGACACAATCTAGTGGGCAGGCATTTCTGCCACGGCCCCACTTCGACCTGGTCAAAATGCCGACCTGTCCCGACGATTGGGCCATGACCTCTTTTCCGTGACAGTTGATGATCCAAATCATTCTGCCCTAACGACAGTGGAAACACTGAAACAGAAAGCCGACACAGATATTGGCAGGGCTTCCCGTTGGATAGCCCTGCTGCCTCTCTACTGCACAACCGAGAAATCGTGGCTTCCACACTAACCTAATCTGAAAACATAACGGGACGCGTGCCATGGTTTGTCCAAATCGGCGCTAGCGCCGTCAGCTGGTAAATGAGCACCACTCAAAAAGCGGGGTAAATCGATTGTTATTTTCTGGGCCAGATTGCCCAGCCCGAAGGACTCCAACTTGATCCATCTCCTTCACCTGCGCAATGGGCCGGCAAGTTAGCAAGGATATACGTTCACATTTGGAGTACCAGACTTTGGAAGAATTGCTAATACACGGTAGAGCTCCCCGAATTGGTACCTTGCCTGACGTCACTGCCAAAGATGGTGGTGGCTGTCTCCGGGAGAGTGGTGAGTTGAAAGCTGAGAGACCAGTAGCACTCAAACCACAGCTGAGAACAGTCCCCATCTATTCCGGATCTCTTTAAGACGTGGCGGGTGTGGGAAATGGGCGGGCGTTTGCCCAAGGACAGATACAGATCTGCGCCACAGTCGGAAATACTCAACGCTAGTAATCCATGTAGAAGACTCAGCGCGGAGATTGACTACATCTCGCTGTATGCTTTGAAAATATCCACCACACTAGTTCACTGACCAGGGGCAAAATGGGGCTACCTATCAAATGCGGCGTAGGTTGGAACAATAATTGTTTACCAATACATTGGTGCCATTGGAAATGGTCTCGTAACTTACGATCAGACGGGTTGCCTCGCGATTGTTTCCTTGTTTAATCTAGCTAATGCGGAAATCATGGTTGTCAGATCCTAGAAAGCACACGAGTGCAATCCATGATCAAGCAGAATGACCTGGCTAGTGCATGCAAACAAGGGCCGTTCGAATTGCTGACCGTGAATTCTTTCTTGTATCCAGTGCAACACCTCAGGGCGGATGAAGCCAAATTGTCACGGCATGATATCTGCCTCTCATGTATGACTCTCTGCTTAGAATAAAAGACCTGTTTATCAGGAGACTATCCATCCTCGTGACAACGCCGATACGTATTTAAGCCCCCATTCGCCTTTACCCCATCGAGCCATCAAGATGTAATTTTTAATCGCAACTACAAAGACATTCGCAAGTATTCGCCCTTAATCATGAGTATCTTTGACAACGATTCTCTCCTCAAAAAATTTTACGATAATGCTGCTCATCAGGATGAATTCGCAAGCAACGCGTTCTGGACAAAATTCCTTACCCACTATGTCTTCAACGAAATAGAGTGGCATGTCTTTCAAGAGATGCCTCCTAAAGACCATCATGACCAGACGCGATTCGACATCGGCGTTGTGTACTTGGAGCTGACATGCAATGTACTTGCATTTCGCCTGACTGCAGAGGGTAAAAAAAATAAGTCCGGGAAGGAAGATATTATAACGGCAGAACGCCACGCTTATAGAAAGTCTCTGACCTACTTGCGTGAGAATCAAATCCCATCCCTCTGGGTGATGACCTACTTCGGCACTCATGCTCGGTTGTGGTTCTGCAGTCTTGACGGTCCCGGTGCGCTGGAACTTTTCTATCCGCTGGCGGGGGAAATGGGGCAGAAAAGTGCCTACCCTGAATTTCGTGCGAACGAACAAGGCTTCAGATGGGCTTTCAATTGCGTCAAGTCTATCCAATATCCAGATTCTGGTAAAATCGCCGAGTTGTACACTCAATCGGAGAGTCTCATGGGCCTATCTTCGGTGGGCATGTCTCAAACAACACCAAGCACAACGTACCAAACATACGACTATCCAGGCGGCGATCCTACCAGCCAATCGAAGCAAGCGTCCTCAAGTACCGCTTCAGCGCAGGTGCCAACTACGAGCTTTTCTATAACTAGCTTTGATCAGCCAGTTATCTCACAACATTATGGGACAACCCCGATGGAGACAGATGTCGATGAACCTCAGGACCAGTCAGCCAGCAACAATACGGCAGCCCCATCCCAAATGCAGGGTCAATGGTTTAGCAGTGACAGACCTCCTTGTGAAATCGAAGTGTTGAGGAGACGGGGCCATCCGATACATAACTTAGTGTTCAAGGATAGGAAGAAGAATCCCGTAACTGCAAGACGTGAGGATTTTGTGAGGGCTACACATCCCGATGGGCGTCGGGTGTACGTTTACCGATATTCGACTAAAACGACGTACTGGTGTGATAATCTAGACCCCAAACATTGAACTTGCCGTGGGAATGTCAGGCCCGCTAGCACTTCAAAGAAATAACAAATCTGATAGCAACAAAGAAATAACCAAGCAATAATGCATTCGTTACTACGTTCACATATCGTTCATTTCCGCACTCAATCATTACGCATATATTACCTGTCAAGATCGGGTCGCTGATTCATTCAAGCATAATGTTGCCTCTGTCAAGAACACGCAAGCATTATTGCCTAGTGGCCACTTGCGACCGGTAAGTGGCAATAGGAAATCGTAATACTGCGGCCTAAGCAGCAGTGTCACACACACGATTGTATGGGACAGCTTAGACAGAATGAAAGACTCTTGATTTCCTACATAAAGAGTGGAATAATACGAAACTAAATACTTGTTGTAATACTGCTGCCTGGCAGGCAGCAGTATAGCAATGGCTGTTGCCTTGAATGAGCGACTTGACCTTGACAAGCAGTATTCCAGTAAGTATTTAATTTCGTATGATTTCGCTCTTTTATATAGAAAATCAAGAGGCTTTTCATTTTGCTTAAGCTGGCAAGGTTTTGACGCGGTTGTGGATGTTTTGGGAGCCCGATTGAGCGCCTGGGAGCTTCAACACCTTTTATATTGGCATGGCCGTCCATCCAAAGAGGATACATGGGTACGCAGTAAGCTTCTAAGCCCACAACTCACGAGGAGGATCCAATCAAATGAGATATATGGTGCTCATATTTGAAACCATAGTTGGGTTGGGTAACAGGAGTGGTCTGTCTTATTGTTGTCTTACTGTACGCAGTCTGTCTCTTCCAATATATGTTGGTTATTTTCTTGTTTGGACGTGTAGCGGTCAACAGCGGCAAGATTCCCTTCCATCAATATGTCCCACTCGTCATCTGTCGAGGCCGGGCAGAGACTGAATGGAATCTTGCGGAGTTGACTGAATGCTGTGCAGCAATCTTCTAAATCGCGTGGCGAAAACAGAAGCGAACGTGGGAAGATGCCCCTCGTCAGCAGTCGCTCAGATCGACACAGGTCGTCATAGTAATCTACAGAAAGCTCCTGGATGGACGGGCGAGCAAGTTTCATTGCTCTATACAAGACCTTGAAGCCGTAGTCTATATTCGTACGACAATGCTCTTGGCGTCCGCTTTGTAACGGCAGGCCGGAAGGCTCCTTCGCAAAGTGAGGGTACGCTCTGGTCCTCTGGATAGTGGCCCGCCAACTCTTACACCTCTAGGAAGCTTGGGACGCCAAGGGCTGAAATAGCTGGTGCCGAGGAGATCTCTTGCTGGGCACCAATGATTCGGGAGTGTAACCCTTCGAATATTTGGCATCGATGCTAGAGCAACTGCTATAATGATTTCGTCGCGGTGTCCCTTTAGCATCTCCTTCTGTTGTTCCATATGCGAAAGATGGTATTGGCGACCTGGGTCGTCATTGTGCTGCAAGGACTCATTCTCCGGTCCGATTTCGAACATGTGAAAGTAAACTCCAGAGTAGATGATTTCTTGAAACAACTGAACTCAATGTTGGGTGTTTTGCAATCGTATGAAGCACATCCAGGTCCTCACGGTGGAGGGAGGTGTACACCCGGGTGAAAAGGAGCTTGGTTGCAGACATGTTGGTCTCTTTTGAGGTTAACCGAAGGGATTTAAGGTCGCTTTTGGTTACAACTTGGAAGATAAGCAAGCCTCCAGTGGTAATTCGTCCATGTCTCGTCACTGGTCGTGAGTTGTGGCCAAGACAGGGTCTGATGCCACTTTGTGTTCTTTGTTTGGGTGCCGTCAAGAGTTGTACTGTAACGATATGAAGTAAGTCAGGAGTGCGCTCCTCTTAAAGATCTGGGCCGAGTTGGTGCCAATGAAGTATATACCACGTTGTCGTGGTGGAGGGGTGCAATAGTCACGTGCAACCTAGTCCCTGGCCGTAACCTAATTTTTCGTGACGCATGCCCGTGATCTCGGATTTGAGTCCTCATGGATCTGTTAAGACAACAAAAAAGCGCGTTTCACCTGGCAAGGCCCAAAAATGTCGAAAAGGCAGCACGCTCGCGCCCATACTCGCTGCGGAGCTTGCGGTTTGCTTTTCCATGAGGACGACCTCATTCACAGCTGTGAGATGCAACCCTCCAACTCTTCAACAGCTGTCCAACCCCTCACGCTAACATGATGCACGTAGTTGTTCGCCGAGGCTCTGTAGTAACTGGACATGGCCCATCAAAGTTCAGCGTCGACCGGTATGGTATTTCTTGCGACGATGTACAGTTCTGTGCCAATCTCGACTGTCGTGAACATCATAAGGAGGCTAGCATCGTGCACGCCGATTGTCTGAAGATCTTCTGCCGTGGAGACACACCGTGGGGACTTGGTGACAATTTACGCTGGCTGTGGGTAGCATCGACATGGAGGAGCCCATGGCGGGGTGCATTGCCTCTAAATGCCCCGCCGCGGATTAATTTGGATCGCAGATTAGACGACCTGCGCCTGACGAAAAGGATGACGACATTACCGCCAGAGCTTTACGCTATGATTCGGGACTTTTCACTTTCAACAAATCCAATGCCTAACTTCGCGCTACACCATTATAATCAATTGGTAGCGGCCTTCGACTTGTTCAGAGAAGACGTACGTGAGGAATTTCTAGATCGAATCGAGAGTTGGACCCGCGGTGAGCTCCCGGAAGTGTGTGAAGAAGGAAATAAGCCGTTTATTCGTCTATCGATCGACTGGCAAGGGCTTCAAAGCATCGAAAAGATGGCAGTACTTCCTCCCGCAGCAAACTTGCGTTCTGACTGTACTGGTTACGTCGTGGAAAAAGCTGGGCGCCTCTCTAACGTCATCGTAAAGTTTCAGGTATGTCATAATATCCCAGGTGAAAATAGAACAGTACTGAGTAGATTTTAGCTCGGCCTCGCTGCACTGCAGGGCGTGACAGGACGTTTTCGGGTCTGGGATACCCCTTGCCCACCACCTGTTGATTATATTGATGGCCACAATACCTCCTCTATTTGTCATCTAGGAACCATATGGACAGAGACGGATAGCCTCACTGGAATCACGTTTTTCCTTGCACATGGATCATTGTATGCAGTTCATGCTCACACGCATGCTCAACTGTCTGCGGAACATACCTTTTTATTTTTTGAGCCTGTCAGGCAAAAGTCCTTAACATGGATATATGTTCCCATTCAGCAGGGAATCGCAAAGTTTGCATTTAGTCAGGTGAAAGACACACCAGGAGATTTTAACAAAACACAGCATATCTTGGTAAGAACTAGACGACGAACCCCAACCCAAATTGAGCGTGTTGTAAGGTTGCAAACTAACGGAATGTAGTTGCACATTGACGGCGTCGGAGATATAATCGTTGGGCCCTGCAACAAGAGACCATTGAAATTTCTGTTAATCAAGCAGCCCCGAACCCTCATATATAGGAGAATGGACGGGTCTCCCATATACTTCTGCGATGCTTTTTCCAGAGAACATGAACTAAGGGAAGTGACTCTACCAAATCGGATCATATCTGATCCACCTTGGCAAAGTTGGGTTTATCTGTCCTCAGCACCTCTGGAAAACGTCATTGCAATTCGAATATTCAGTGTACCCATGACAAAGATCTGCAGAGGAGTTCTCATAGAGTACAGAGGAAGGGTCAAGCGTGCCCTTGGGCAGTGCAGATTGGGTGTTGATCCCGTTCGAAATTACATGGGTGTAAACAAGCTCTGTTTTAAGAACACCAGATATCAGCCAATGGGTACAGGTAGGAAGATGGACGGTGTCATCCTGGAATGTCATGGTGGGAATGATCACATTCATCAAAACTCTGGCTGGACTTGTTGTGACATGCGCGGCTTTTTGAGCTTCTGGTTTACGAAGGATGAAATGAAGATAGAACACAATGACACTTAGCACTCGCAATTACATCAAACTCGAAGATTCATTTCTTTGGATGTGTCAAGAAAATACCATGTGTCTACAAATTTTGCGCAGTTAGCTAAAAGATGGAGCCTTGAAGGCGGCGAAGCCTATTTTTATCGGACTCAAACAAAAGAAATAAACATTCCCTATTTTATTCTTCCAAAACCGCGATTACATCTCATGTTCTTACGATCCTGTACTCGAGGTGTACTGTAATTGTCGGTTCACAGGCGGTAATCACTAGCTACTGCAGTAGTCATATGATCATTGTTCTTCTTGTTCTTGTTGTTTCTATCTAGAGCTTGAAGCTATCAATAGGAAAGGAGGTGCTGCAATCTTAGTCACGTGCACCTTTACAGGGGAAGGAGTTGTCAGGGGTAACTAGGCTTGAGCCCGTAAGCGATTTACATCGCAATAGTAATTCTTTCCCAAGCTACCTGGAAATCAAGGTTATATTGCCCTTTATGGAGGAGCTCATGCAAAGATACATACAGCCTAGGTGTCGGAATTTTGGGGCTGGTATAAATGGCAGAGTGATGGCCAGGTTCAATAGCCTAGTTACGACTTAGTGCTTCGTTCAAGCATTTCTTTCTGCTGTCGCGCCCCTCTCTTCCTCCACTGCCGTTGCCACTGCCTCAAGCTCGCCTGTGGCAACCCCGACACCGACTACAACACCGTCCTCGGGCTCACCCAGAGGGTCAGGTTATGTCTGTACTTTCCTCGGTCGGTCACGGCGACCCGTCCGAGGCTTGGCCCCAGCAGTCTCAGTGGGTTGACTTTGAGAGCATCTGGTCCGCGAACCTGGCCAATGTCATCTCTGAATCATGTGAGGCATTTGGACAAACCAATAACTCGGAAGACGAGAGCGCCGACCTGAAGTCAGCCATCCAGTCGGTCGCTAATTCCTCTGGGGTTGACGACTGCTCCAAGTAACCAACTACGTCGTGAGAGGAGTCATTGATCAACAGGTGCGCAGTTTGAGCTTGATTAGACTCCGTTTCAGAAAATGTGGCAAGAATCGGAGGAAGGTGTGCTATCATGTCCAAGAATGAGGAACGGTCGTAACGAGCTTCGTGGAGACTCTAGAGACAAAGTTCGGCGCCCGATAAGCAAGCAGATAGTGCAGGGGCGTCAATTCAATTCTCCAGCTTAGTAATAGGGCAGCTGGCTCGACGTGAGAATTCCCTTCCTGGGCTCGCAAAGGAAAATCATCTTGTGAATCCGTGAAGAACGAGCGAGAGAGATGGAGAGTAGCAACGACGATTGTCACTGCCGTGCAGTGATTGTTGGCCCCGGTACTCCGTAAAATTTGTCTGATTGAAATGAATGATCGCTATTGGCAGACGGACATCTGGTTGGCTTACTCAGCAGGACAGAGCTAGTGGTCAGTGCTAGATATCCTGGAGCTCCCTCTTCTCACATTTCTGCCCTCTGATGGAATAACATGCTGAGATATCAATCTCATGTTCTACTAATGATGTTCTGCCGGTTCTACTAACCTACAAAATGGCTCATCTTACTCAAGAAGAGCGCGACATCGTCGATGCAAATCCTCTCGGGGACTCGCTCGGCGGCATTCGTGAGGCATTGCGAGAGGCCGAACGAAACACACGCCGTGAAGCCTCTCAATCAGATGACAGCACAGCTGCCCCAGAACGACCCCGCTTATTCGTGGCAGCAATAGGAAAAATATTCTCTATTCTATCTGCATCCGATGTTTCGCTAGCATTGGCTTCAAGAACGGGAAGAGAGGCTCTTGTGTCTGATCTGACTGCAATTCGCCTACGTGTACAGAAAGGCGATCTCAAGTACAAGCAATTTCGCCCGCTATCACAGCTTGTGATCAAGCAAGCACCAGATGTCGACATCTGGGCTGCCGTCGTAGCCCTCGTCCGATCGATTTCTCACTCGACTCCGCCGCCGAGCCTCCCGCCATCCTTCGAAACCCCCATAACACATTCATCCGCTTCGCAGCAAGGGTCAGAGCAGACGCGACGGAAGATTGAACCTCGCGTGTTCGAAGAGATTCGCCATTGTACACACCGTGCGGTCGCGGGATTTCACGAGAAATATTTTGAAGGACATAAATGGAACTTGCGAGCCAGGCGAATCTGGCAGAGCGTCAATAGTCGCTATAGCGACAAAGACAAGAGGTGGACACAGTTGCCTGACGCGGCCACCGAGGATGAGGTATGTGGCTGGCTACTCAACTTGCAGGAAGAGCTGCTCGCGACTGAACGGGCAGCATACTTTAGAAGCAACGGACTCCAAAAAGTCGGGGCTGAGGCGTCACGGCAACTGGACCTTTTTGTTAAAATGAAAAGAGATGAAGCGTCAGACACGAAGCACGACTGGAAACACGTGTTGGTCGTTGGCGAGCTCAAGCAGTCTGACCAGAAAAACAAAAGCCTGTGGCTTCAGGTTGGCAGCGCTGTGCGAAACGTGTTCGCTTACCAGCCTACACGATTTTTCGTGCACGCCTTCACTCTGACCGGGACAGAAATGGAGACATGGATCTTTGATCGGTCTGGGCCGTACAGCGGCACTACATTTGACATCCATAAGGAGCCCGAGAAGTTCATTCGGGTCATATGTGCATATTTGATGATGAGTGATGAGGAGCTGGGCTTGGATACTTTTACCAAAGCAAAAGACAACAGGTTGCTTGTCACCATACCTGTTGAAGCTCGCGGGAAGAAGCGGAAGCGGCAACTGGAACTCGACCCCAATCCGATCGCCCATCAGCGAGCCATAGTCTGTCGTGGCACGTCTTGCTTCCTCGCCAAGGCCACTGGCGCAGCAGTATTTGACGGGGTCGTAAAATACTCTTGGACTTCCAGCATGCGACCGCCAGAGGCTGATCTTCTTAACAAGGCAAACGAGCGCGGCGTTAAGGGTCTCGCGAAATTGGTTGGCTACAACGAAGAAGTCACTAGTATAAGCAGGTTGCGTGAAGGTCTGGTCTTCTCAACTCCACATAAGTTTCGTGGCGTGTCACACAGTGCCAATACGTCGTTCTCTCAATCGCAACCCCCGCTAAGCCAATCTTTCAGCCAGTTTCCCGGTCTTAGCATTGCCAGCAGCGGACACAGAAAGAGGAAGTCAACGGATGGGTCAAGCAATGCGTCTAAGAGATCTCGGCCGAATAGTCAGGTGGCCGACACAGAGCGCAAAGAGAACGGAGCAACTTACCCCGCCCAAGAACCACAAGGTACCAGTCTTGTTCAGCAAGATCACGACCAGACACCTTATGCCAACCGCATCTTTCGCGTATTAGCCATCTCGCCGGCGGGACGGTCCATTACCCAGTTCAAGGGTGTTATCGAGCTGCTTGAAGGCCTTTGTGACGCCATCAAAGTGCATCGATCACTCTACACAGACGGGAAAATTTTGCACCGAGACATTTCCGAAAACAACATCATTATCACCGACCCAGAGAATGCCGATGGCTTCAAGGGCATGCTCATCGACCTTGACTTGGCTAAGGAAGAAGGCAAAGGTCCTAGTGGGGCCCGGCATCGGACGGGCACAATGGAATTTATGGCTATTGAAGTTCTTCTAGGAATTTCGCACACATATCGCCATGATCTTGAAGCATTCTTTTATGTTCTAATATGGCTCTGCGCTCGTCGAGGCTGGGCATTATCAAGAGCGTCAGGCCGGCGGCCGAAAAACAGTATGCTATCGCGGTGGTATACTGGAGGTTACGAAGACATCGCGCAAAGCAAGCGTGGGGATATGGACAAAAATGGACTAGAAGTCATTCTGAGAGAATTTCCGGAAGTATTTGATGGTGTCAAGCCTTTGTGCAGGGCAATAAGGGATGTTCTGTTCCCGCATAAGGATGGTCTCTTCACTGGCACCCCACAGGATCCGAGTACCCTGTATGATCCAATCATCAAAGCATTCAATGATACTATAGCAGGGATTGGGCTGGGAGAAGCAAAGACGTGATACATCACGCGAAATAGTATAAATGATGCCGCCTCCGGAATTACACTTCTTTCCAGGTTCTCTATGTGGCACGGAGCGTAATATACCGGGTAGGTCTAACCGATAACAATAGCATGCCTTTCACGACCAGTAACCGTTCCAGATAGTGTTGCGGAAAATCATGTAAATCACACAGTCCATCCAAATCCCTCCGCTGATGTTTATCCCCACAACAAAAAGTCGCAGGCAGCCCCACACAATTGATAGTCAAAACGTGCCCGGGGGTTTCCGGTTAATACCGGGTCATCTGGCTTCATCACATGATTCTCAAAGCCGCAAAATCTAAACCTACGTAATAGTCCTGTGTTAGCCCCATTTTGCGTCCTTTAACCTCACCACGACCTTTTTCACGGGCATAAGGCGCTTTGCATCGAGATGACAGAGGTTTTACGGTTAGGCATCAATATGACTGAGGAGACTCTGATCGCCTCAGCGAGACTGTTAGTTTATGTCTGTACTCGAAGATCTCTTTACTGATCCAGGGTAGCCACAACCAGTTTCCTCCCGATACGTCGTTTCCTCAGATAGACGTACTATCCGAAGGATTCGAAGAACTCTGTGCAATCATTGCAAAATACAACGCCCAGAGCCGTTTCCGACTGCGGCTGCTCCATCGCCACACCACCATTCCTGAAGGGCAAATATTGCTAGGTACTAGCATTACGGAACCGCCCGGCTTCTGGACCAGGCCTACACCCATTTCCGACGTCGATTTGCAGAATATCCATCCCCACATTATCTCGGTAGATGACGAAGCGAGAAATGGCCGTCTATTCCCCTCCGAATTTCGCGAGGGTCCGCCAGCCAGTGATTGGAGCATCGAAAGCGGATTTTTTACGGAGTTCACCGACTACCTTCGGGTGAAGGGCTGGGAAAATATTTTTGGGCTTGAGATAATGCAAGGTCAGACTGGGAAGATGATCGAGTTTTCTTTCGATATAGGGAGTCTTCTGCTTGAAGAGGCGGAGGTCAGTGGGCAGTTCGAGTCTCAGGAAACTGCATGGACTATCAGGGTCAGAGACGGTGCTGTCGACAAAGATGGTGAAACACGGTGTGTTATTATACAAGGCCAACACCTCAGAGCCACGAAAATGCTTGTGAAGAGCGTGTCGGATGTTTTGAAGGTATTGAGAGATGAAGGTGTATTACTGTAGTACATAAGTCCATGGCCTTTAACTTGATGTCCTTGCCGACCTTTAACCCGCGAATCAGCATCATAACACTGGAAGGCCGCCAATAGCTTGCTCGCATGCTTGAAAGAAGTCCGCTATCAGCTGCTTGTCCAACACTTCTATCGATACAAATGCTCTGCCTTCAGTTTCGTTCCAGAATGTTCCACCAAACCCATCTCGTTGAATCAGCTCCATGAAACACTCTAATTTGATCGAGTATACCCCTTCAAATATCCTATTTGCTTCCGGAGCGGGTGAACGTATGAAAACCTCCCGTCCAAATGGCTTAACTATATCGCCCAACGCCTCTGAGAGCCTTAATGAGACGAATGGTACGAACCCTGGCAGGCTTCCGAACCATATGTCGCCCATAATATCGGTAGGCCTATCGAAAACCAACCGTTGAAGCAATTTCTTCTCGAATTGAATTACTCCTTTAAAGTATTAGCTGGCTCCAAATTCGTACGACAGCGATACTTACCAAGAGAAGTTGTTTGTACGTTTGAAGTTACTGGGGAAACTGAAGGAAGAACCGAATGTTGACCTGCTGGAATTAGCAGATGCCATTAGAATCGAGGCTGCTAGCTACCTGTGGTGACACCATCCGGCTCAGCGAGGCTAGTCGGTGAGCCTGGAAGCGAGTTTTGAGCAACGGGAAAACCAATGATGGAAGTCCCGCTATCGTGATTTAAGAGAGAGCTAATATTGTTGATACCTGATCGTCCAAACCTTGAGGTATCGGAACTTGATTCCACTTGTCCCTGCTGTTCATCTACATTATGGACTTCTGTTGTTTTCAATGGAATGTTGACAGGCTGTTGTATTTGATCATTGGTCGTTAAGTGCCACTGGCCACATTCATTGGGAGCAGGTGTCGAAAATTGTGCCGGGGCTCGAGGTAACTGACGCTGAGGATCTCCTCCATGAGCCCTATTCTGCGCGCGAGGCGCCTGGAGAGGTGCCAGATCTCCGGTGACGCTCTGCAGCTTTCGCCTCACGGATGCAGTACCTCTTTTTCGAGTTGCTTTGATCACGCGATTGGCACCTTGCTTTGGTAGAGGTCCTGGTTCACGTCTGTTTACATCGACATCGCCGGGAGCCGATGCAAAAGGCTGGTTCGAGGGATATCTTAGTTGAGACTGCTGGTCAGGTTGAAATTGGAAAGGAATGACATTCCGAAAAGGTTCGCGTAAGGCTTGTAGAATTTGGTCGCTCAAATCATTCCAGCCTCCTTCCTCGCATTTACAAACAATGCCAAGTTCTCGAAGAAACTGGGTAACCTTGGCAAATGTGCTCCCTTTAACTGGCACATACGTCTCCCAGCTGTAGAGAATTTAGAACCGTTATCAAAAACACAGACAGTGTGACTTACACAAGATCGCTGATTTTCTCAGGAAACAGAAATAAGCATCCTGAACATAGCGCATTCATGAATCCACGGTACCTTCGACCTATCTTCGCCCAGCCAACCACCCTTTCCCGAACGATATCGCAATTATGCTTCCCTGATTGACAAATTACGGCAACCACAAAGGAAACACCACCATTTTCAGTTTTGTGAAGTAGATTCTTTGTAGCATCGAGCTCTGAGATGAGGTCATAGTAGAAAGTTGTCAGAAATCTCCACAAGATCCTGCAAAGAATGCGGTCTGTTTCCACGTTGCAGGTATATTCATAATAATCAGACGGAGATTGAAGGTCGACACCGTTTTTGGACCACTGACGTAAAACATCACGGGGGTTTTGTTTAAGAACCTCCGCAACCTTTTGAGGGATATTGATGTCTTGAGATTGAATTGACCATAATGAACCGAGCTTGTATGACCGAGAATTCCTGTTTTTGGCCGTTGGAATCCAGTCCTGGGGCGGTTTATTTGACTGGGATTTCGAAATACTGTTATTTGATATTGCTTTATCCCATGATGCTAATATCTTGGCAAGATTGTTGTGGGATGTCTTTGGGAGCCTTAGGAGATGCTGTTCGATCTCCTCGGCACACTACGCACGGTTAGTAAGGTCAATTCCCCGCAAGTCAAATGGAATTACCTTGTCGTTAATAAGTAGTTCTTCTAAAGTCTGGTGCTCCAATCGTGAGCGTATGTCCTTGCTAAATTGCTGACCCATTGCGGAGGTGAAGAGATGGAGTGAATGTGTTGGAGCGTTCAACGCGGGGCGGTCTGTCCAGAAATAAGGTGGACTTCCCGACCATTAACCGTAGACGCTGAATGAGGAGCTAGCACTAGCGCCGCTTTGGACATACCAAACGTTCCAGAACGTTTTTAAATTGGGTTACGGTGGACACCACGATTTCTCAGCTGTACAACTCCTACAGCCAAGAGGGAACAGAACAGCCCAATGGGAAATCCGCCAGAAATCCATGTCAACAGCCTGTCTCGGTGTTGCTGTACACAAAATTGAAAACCATCATCAAGGTGGCATCGACTCAACCCGCGTTCAAAGAATGGACTAGTATTAATATAGAAAGGTGTCAGACAATTGAGGGTCACAAAAGATCGAGTATAATGGCGCCATAGGCGCCAATTGTATGGAATGAGAATTATCTAAGAAGCATCGTAACCGTACAAAGTAGATTGCAGTGGTTGTCTTACATAGACAACAGCCTGATTGAAGGACTTCTCTCCCGAGAAAGGAGAGAAGTCGGCTGCTGGGTAGGCTTGAGATGTGACAAAAGGACATAACAAATCCGTTGATGAAGTTTATGCACGAGCGCGCTTCCTCCGATGAAGATGGAATGTGTCCCAGAATCAAATAATGCGAACCACTGGGACTAGCAGATACAGTGCCTAAGCAATTCGGAATATGATGTGAGCCTGAGTAACGACGATGAATAGTATGACATTGGTATGAGATAGCCCGTAGTTGAATCCCCCCAGATGTTGTGATACAATCCCAAAGCCGGCTGAGGGTTCTACGGCTCTTCCATTAAGAGGAAATCGAAGAGGATGGGACTACGGTTTGTCGTGACAAATCATGAATGCAAACACGTAACCTACATGTGATGTGGCTAACAGAACAGTTGTTGGCCAAATGTCGAACAAAAGCTGCTCAATTGATCAGGGATAACACCGAGAACGCCAATGTGGCTTTGTAAACAACTCTTCACCTACGTATCAGAGCTTTTCTGTTGCTTCGCTGTTGATAATATGACAGATGGCAAATGCCCTTGAAGGTGGCTTGTCGTGGATCTCTGTACACGTCCTGGTATCAAAGGAGTACCATGCGAGCTTTTGGCGGGGCCCAATAGGTGCCCCACCAGCGGTGCAGCCTCTCGCACAGCCCGCTCAGATGGAGCGGGTTGAAGATTCCAACCACTTCCCTGACGACTGTCTTCCTCCAGAAGACGAGTACAGTTCTCGAGAGGCCTTGTACGCAGCGATCAACGCTTGGGCAGCACCAGAGGCTATGCATTCGTGACCGGATGGCCAAGGAAAACACCCAATGGCAGGCAACAAGTTGTCTTTAACTGTGACCGTGGTGCAGGTCGCACCCCAGATGCCCTAACTGTAAGACAGCGGCGCACTACTACAAAGCGCACAGGATGCCAATTCTCCGTTCTTGTGAAGGAGGGTCTTGATAAAGCCTCTTGGAAGCTTACGCATCGTCCTGGTAGCGAATATGCTATCCACAACCATGAGCCAAGTACACAGAGGTCTGCGCATCCGGTCCATCGCAAGCCATCTCCTGCCGATATGTCAACCGTTCACAACCTTGGCAACGAAGCCGTGGCGCCAAAAGAGATCAAATCTTACCTACGCAACCACTAGGAGACTCTTGCGACCCAGCAAGATATCTACAACTGCATGGCGCAAGGCAAACGAGACCTCGCCAAGGGCCAAAGTAACATACACGCTCTCGCTAATGAGCTTGACAGCGAGGGATTTTGGAATCGAATGCAGCTCGTTGAGTATGGACGGGTCACAGGCGTGTTATTTGCCCATCCACAGTCACTTGCATCCTCAAGTGCTATCCGGATTTGCTCAGATTGGACTGCATTTACAAGACGAACAAGTACAAGATGCCTCTTCTCGACATCGTTGGAGATGCCTGTCAAAGATCATTCTGCGTTGCCTTTGCCTTCCTGAGCGGCGAAGACGAGAGGGATTATATCTGGGCGCTAGATCGGCTACGGTCGATATATGAACTCTGCGGTGCAAGGCTTCCATCTGTTATCCTCACATATCGCTGCCTCGCTTGCATGAATGCTGTATCTCATTCTCGCTGCTTCCCGGCTGCAAAAAGTTTGTGGGTTCGCTCTAGCAGATGTTGCAAACGTGGGCTCTGAATCACGAGGCAGACTAGGCACCATTAGCTGCTGTAAACCCTAACTATGAATCGGACTGTCACAATGCATTAATGACATTCAAATACTATCAAGTAATCAACAGTTGAATTCAGAATTTCTTGACTAGAGTCGCTGCTTGAGCGGCTGAGAAATTTTGGCTTATATCAAATGGCGTTGAAATTGCTGAATTTTCTCGTTCTAGTAGATACATGGAGATACGGAGAAATTGGTAACTTAACGGAGTCCGAGTAATAATGTTATCTGTCCATCCGCAGACAGTTGGCCATTGTGTGAGTGCCCCAAGCCCCGCTAACTAAGCATGGATGCACGGACAAAAGTGCGGCCACATCCGAGTAGATAAACAATCCAGCCTTTGTGTCGTCATATGGCCAGACCGAGTTCATTCGTTGCCAGTAATCGGATCGTCAGTATACGCGACAGGTACGATGGATGACATCGAAGCCTTGCGGCGAAAGCTCCGAGAGGCTGAGAACCGCGCCCTAGAGGAGCAACGACGGCGCGAAGAGGCTGAGAACCGCGCTTTGCAGGACCAACACCGACGCCAAGTAGCCGAAGCACTCACCGCAGCTTCCCAGCCACAGAACCTTCAGCAATATCTCGAGACATGTCATTCGCTTCATCTTGCTATTGAGGTGGTAACAAATCGATCTTTGACTACGCAAGGAGAAACCACCCACCCCACTGGCCGAATTTTCCCTCGACGAATTATCCCCTGGGACGATTTTGCAATGAGACAAGAGGAGATCTGGAACGACCTGTCGATTAGCGAGCTGTTTTGTGAACCAGCATATCCGTCTAATCATCAGATGGAATACGTCAGGTCATTGCTCAAACCTTTTAGCAGTGAAGTTGGGCTCCGGGATTTCGAGCGCGATGTGGTAGAAAACGCGGTTCAGAAGTTGGTCGATCGAGCAAAAACAGATCCATTGCTGCGAGTTCTCTCGGTATCCAGGGAACAATGACGTTTGAAAGCCAAACGAATCTCGGCACGACTGACGATCTTATATTTGAGCCCATGGAACACATGTCATTGGACCGAGATGACACGGGTGATACAGCGCAAGGATCTGCCCCGAAGCAGGCGCCAGCTCCCAAGTCCCGTCGCAAAGCGAGGGGAATGGGCAATCGGGCGGATCATTTTGTATATACAGGACTTCAGAGTGCCGAAATGTCCCAGCCCTTGCTATTGAGTACAAGGCACCGCACAAATTAAGTCTCGACGAAATCATCACTGGTCTTGAGGCGGAAGTTCAGCCGGAACGTGATGTGATTAACAAGGACAGTCAGGGCTTTGTCTTGACTGCCCGACGCCTTGCCGCCGCTGTGGTCACTCAGCTCTTCTCGTACATGATCGGCAAGGGCATTCAGTTTGGTTATATATGCACGGGTCAGGCATTAGTCTTGCTTCATATCCCGAACGATCCTTCCACCGTCTACTTCTCGGTATGCGTGCCAAATCAAGATGTAATGGACGACGACGAGACGAGTCTCCGTTGTACAGCCGTTGCACAGGTTTTCGCTTTCATTCTCCAGGCTCTCCACGCCAGGCCACCACCTCAGATGTGGCATGACGCGGCCGAGACACTCGGTATATGGACTGTCGAGTACGATGATATTCTGAGGGATATCCCACCATCGGAGCGCAAACGCAAAGAGCCACGTGCGTCTCCTTATAGACCACAACATTGGAAGGGCTTTAAGAGATCCCCAATTCGGACTCGCTCCCGCTGCCAGCAACCAGGCACCAGCGTTGAACAGCCGAAGGAGGATGACGAAGATCCCCCGTCGCCTACTCCAAATCCATCTCGCACAAGTGGGAAATTGTTACCCTCGATGAGCAAAAGCTCAAGCTCGAAGAGTGGGAATCAAGGACGGCGCAGTGGCCGGCAGCAACAGCGGGGCGTAGTAAAGAAGTCGGATATTCAAGACCGGCCACTCTGTACTCAGCGTTGTCTCCTAGGATTAGCACATGGCAGACCCTTAGACAAGAGCTGTCCCAGCGCAAGTTATCATGGGCAAAGGCACATTAGTCGACTTCAGTTCCGGCGGCTCGTCCGACACCAACTTGCTGTAGACCGTGGATATGATGCAGATTGCGCGCCGCTCCATAGATCTGGCTCGCGTGGGTCACTCTTTAAAGTGCGGCTGACATCTCACGGCTACACACTAGTTGCCAAAGGTGTTGAGGGCGCAGATCTTGTCTGCCTGCAGCACGAAAAGGATATATATGACCACCTCCAACCCATCCAGGGAGAGTACGTCCCTATATGCTTGGGCATTATTGTTCTGGCCATACCATATTATTATGACAGCGGCATTTGGGTGCATTTCATGTTCCTCAGTTGGGCTGGACAACCAATTCTTGACTGTGTTGACCCGGCTATGAAAGCAGGTATTGCCACCGCTGTTGCCATGGCCTACAGAGCAGTGCACAAGTTGCGCGTTCTTCACCGTGACGCACAGCCCCGTAATATCCTATACAATACGACTAGTCGTGGGTTTATGGTTGTGGATTTTGAGCGCGCGGAGTTCCACTGTCGCCGGCCGTTGGTCTCAATTGAGCCGAACCTGAATCGGAAGAGAAAGCGTAGGGCAGTACAGAAACAAAAGAAGAACGACTTTGCGAGAGAGCTGGAGTCTGCCGTGGCAAATGCATTAAGTTGTGTCGTGAACTTACCCTTTTGAGAACCGGATCTACGTGGACGACGTTTAGCTGTATAACTGACGGTGCTGACTAGATAGATTCGCGGCTTTGATTTGGATGGTCGATCTTTCGTCACGTTCATCTCTGGGGGTGTGTGTATGTACAAATGGAAAAGGGAGTTATTATGGAGATCAGTCTTCTTGCGGAACCGTGTCTTCGTACGCACCCTCTCATCGTAGCATTAGAACATAATGTTAGGGGAACAGCACCATAGCAACTATCGGAGAGAGGAGGAAGCTGCAACAACCAGCAGCCATGGCCACTGCTTCCCGCAACGTCTGACCACTGGCAATCGGAGTACTCTCACTCTGTCATGTGCGTTGTAGACACGGGCAAGTCGCTCCTAGTTTGCGGGTATAAGCTCTTCCCAACGATTGCGTATTATTTTCAGTCTCTACGTCCATCGCTTTGGGGCTCACTGTCTTCGCTAGATGTTTCCACAGTCTCCTGGCAAGTACGTGCGTTGTGGCCGGCCTCGCCACATGTGCCACAGTGCCGTCCTTTCCTGTCATTGCGTTTCCCCCGACTGCTTTGCCGTACATGTCGCTTAACCTGCCCGCTTCCCGTTTTTGAATTATTAAGCTTGGAAGCAATCCAAGTCTCTGACTTATTTTCCCTCCTCCATGCTTGTAGACGGCGTTCTTCCAGCTGGGATAATAGACGGTGTTGACCAGATAGATTCGTGACTTTAACTTGGATAGTCGACCTTTCGCCATCTTTGCTGCCAGGGGTATTTATATTTAAGGCATCTCCGCAACTAATCGTACTAGCCCTAGATCGGGTTTCAAGACCGTAACCTGAGTTGGAAACGTCATCATACTCGGGCTCACATCCCGTACTCGGCACATCCTTGCCCACAAAGTGCTGTAACAACGATAATGCCTCTATGAGGGCTGCGCGTAAAGTCGAGCATGATTTGCATTGGCTAGCGTGCCTCATATACTGCATTCCGGGTAAATAGTTCGTCTGCTGTGGTGCAGCTAATGGCGAACAACTTGCCTCTGCTTTACGAGGTAGACGCGCTGTGGCTTCCTCGCGGCGGCGAGAGCTGCACTGTCCCGAGGCGCACGTTGGCACAAAAGCACAAGCGCTCGAGTGAATGTTTGCAGGAGCGCTGAGAAAAGTCACATTATGAGTTGTGGCAGCATCTAAGCCTCTCTTTGAATAGCACATAACGGCACGTTCTCCAGAGCCATTGTCGTTCCAATTGCTGTTATCTCCATGGGAAGAATCACTGCCTTCATCAGCGGAAGACAACTTTGGCCGCTTCGTCTGCCGCTCATCAGTTGTTTCAACGCCGTCATCGTCATAGGCTAGCTGTTGTTTAACATTCGGGTTATTGGGCTGTTGATCCGCCTGCAGCCAACGATGACAGCCCACATCCTTTTCGCGAAGATTCACCGGCGAATGGGTCTCAGTCCTGGCTCCAGCACGAGATTCGCCTGGAGATGGCAGAAATAGCGGACATGTAGCGTGATTGCTGTTGTTTGTTGATGGCCTTGGTGAGTCCACGGTGATGCACTCTTCGACTCCGAAACATGATTGCACTTCGGCCGATTGCCAACACGCAGTCTGCGCTGACTGTAATGCAAGACTGCTTGAAGTATGGGGACGCTCGCAAACCACTTGATTGGCCTCGTTATAAGCAGAGCAGATATCCCCGAGTTGCAGAGCTGCACAAGAGTCGCTGGATAAATCGACAAGTGTAGGATTTATAAACATCGTATCATTTACTTCTATAACATGTTAATGTCTTCAATTCGAATAGTTACTCCGACAGCATCATCACCCGTCATACCATGATCCTCTGACATCTCAGTTACTGCCTCGTTTTGCTCGAGATTTTCCTGAGGCACAAACCCCTTCGAATATGTCTTAGGTATAGAGACCTTCTTCGATTTTGGTAACCGTTGAAGGCCTGGATCGTAGGACTTGAACTTAAGCGGTTTGTGCATGATGCAGTGGAGGAAAAATGTCAGTGAAATTTATAGTCGAACGAGATTCAGGGTCAGAATATTGGAGAGGGAGGAGGTGCTTCTGATATAGACGACTGGGATGTCGGGCTCCAAACAGGGTCACATCTTCGTGCCGTGCTCTTGCTAGAAGAGAAAGCGGACCACTCCGACCTGAATTATACCAGTCATTCCCTATGCAGTCGGCTCCTTCCTGTAATTTATTTTGGCTGTTCGACCCCCTTCATGACGCGCCGTGACAACAAATCAAGGCAGGTGATATGAGCGCTTCCGGGCTACAAAGTCCCGTGGAGCCAATCGCAACTCTTACACTGCTAAGATGAACGCGGGAATCATGTCGCGATGCATACTGCGGCTGGTTGATCAACATCGTCAGCCAATCCCTTGGTCGGAGAAGACGCCAATGTGACAAAACGGTCCGACTCAGCTGTTTAGGGGTGGCAGCTTCGTCACCGCACCTTCTGCCGCAGCTAGTGGGAAACTAGTGAGCCTTGTTTGTCTTGCCAAATGCAAACAACAGGGAAAACGAGGCAAACTGGTGCCGCGTAACCGGCCAGCTGACGATCCATGACAAAGTATGTTCTGTCTGTGTGTCGCATTCACTCACCATGATGGTGATGAGTTTGACCTCACAGTGTACCTCAGGCATAGTGAATATTATTAGCGGATGCCATTGTTTAGTCTGTAATGCTGTTACAAACAGACTTGGGAGCGAGCTGCGAAGCCATTCGGTGCGAATTATGTGTCCTAAACCTAATAGCTTAGACACGTCCTCTTCAAATCCGTGGAAAACTATCCTTGCATAGGGGCAGGGCGAGGGTGAGGGCGTTCGGCCTTCTACTGCTTGGTCGAGTAAATGGAGCAAACTAGTCATCAAGTCCATAAAGTGATGGACAACGTGCTACATGCATCTCCGGAGGCCTGTTGGTCGACCAGGTTCGTAGCAACCCAACCGTTCTTGTGACTGGGCGGACGAAGATGAAACGCTGAGGCGTCGACATTTACATCATGTCGTAGCTGCCTTCTGTTGATCTTCACCTTCGGTCAGTCCCCGAAATGAAGCCGCCTCCCATCCGTAGCAGAACAATCGAGACCGCCATCGACCCAATTTCCTGTCCGACTCTGCAGCCAATCTTTTGATGTCGATGCTTTTCTTAGATTGGTGTCGTAATGATTACCCTCCCTGAACTCCTGGCAGAAGTCCCAGCGAGGTGATGAGTGCAGATACGAGCTGCCGGCTGAAATGCGTCATCCTTTCTTCCCATGATTGGAGGGCTTGTGATGGTTATTTGCAAAAGTTCTTGCCTTCTTGAGTAATTCTGAAGGGGCATGACGTGTTCCCAATTGTGTCGAGACTTCTGCACTGACGAGAGTCTTCAGATAGTTTTTCCCTTTCGGGTAATTTTGGAAGAGGTCTGCGAGGTTGGTCAGCTAGTGAACATCGAACCGACCATTTCCAATCCAATTCAAATGAAGATCCCAGTCACTAGCGGTCGGCAGAATTCCTCAGCTGCGCCCCGGGCATCCCGTACTTGTGAAAGGAGGTACGGACATCATGAAAGTATCAGAGGATCCAGCGCTTCGGCTGCGTTATGCGGTGGTTAATGTTCCTCCTCGTTTGTCATGTTGATCGTGGTGTGTGGGCAACGTAAAGGTTGATGAGTAAGCCGGCACTAAAGAAGAAGAGAAAGGTTAAAAGAACAACTTGAAGGGACTCGACGGTACTTGTGGGCGGAGTTGGCGAGACGGCCGCTTTATAGGCGACGCAAAAGCGGCGAGCGAAGGAGGGGCTGAGAATTCCCCGATA